ATTCAGCCACTGGGACCCGATTCAGTGGCCAGTGCATGAATTCTAACTTCTACCTATTCGTGATTTAGCGCGAACCCAATCAATGTCTTCGGTTGGACATACATCCTCACACTTGACTGGATGGAGTTCACTGGTCACGACTTCTCACTACAATTCCAGGAAACTCCGTCCTGTAGCAAGCCACTAGCTAGCATCAGATTAATTTTCTATAGTTGGTTTGTAAGGATTAGATTTGTTTTTTCGAGTTTGACCACGGATTGATATTAGTTAGAGAACCATTGAAAACCAGGGAGTACTGGACAGCTGCTTTTCATCCTAGTTTGGGAATCATCGGCAGTAAGCACCCACTGGGGTTCGAAACCAGGATCTTCCGGTTACAAGGCAAGCTCGTACGCCATTCAGACACTGGGACCCGATTCGATGGCCCAGGATTTTAGCGCGACTACTAATGGTTCTCTAACTAATATCAATCCATGGTCAAACTCGTAAAAACAAATCTAATCCTTACAAACCAACTATAGAAAATTAATCCGATACTCACTAGTGACCTGGTACAAGACGGAGTTTCCTGGAGTTGTAGTGAGAAGTCATGACCAGTGAGGTCCATCCATTAGGGTGTGAGGATGAATTTCCCACTGATGACATTGGTTGGTAGTCATGTTAAAATCACGAATAGGTAGAAATTAGAATTCATGGGCTAGCCATTGAATCGGGTCCCGGTGGCTGAATGCTATTTAAGCAGTAATAAAAAGAAATGATATATCGAGTTACCTTCTGTGAATAATTTAATCTCAATGCTAAAATACGTGCCAGCTAGTATAATTTAGGTCAAGTGATAACTTTTTTATGACTATTATTTAATTACTGTTAATCTTATGATGATCTCTAATTTATATTCATTCTGTATTGTTTTTTAGCGACCGGGTACAGCTAGATCAACTACTTCAAGCAAACGTGCACAATCCTCTAGCAGAAAATTCTCTCCTCCAGATAATCTACCTGGTTTATATCCTGATTTAATAAATAAACCTTTTCATTTATCCAACTTAATTAGGCATACACGTTCATTAGAAAAAACACTAAGTTCCCAAGATATACGTATATGTCCTCGTTATCCCTGGCTGCCACAACCTAATCGTGAAGAAAGAATAGCGAAGTTAGCTGAAGCACGTGAAAGATATGGTTGGGATCACGGTCTACCTGGTGTTCCATCACAGCCATTTGACAGACATTTAGCTAGTCATTTTCAAGAGATAAAAGTCGACCTACAACAGTAGTTACATTGTCTTCCTGCTAGCAACAGTTTTCTATTTATAGAAATAGTGAAAATTAAATCGATTTTGCATTATGAAATAAATTATCACTTTTTTTTAGTAGAATTCTTTTTAATTTTTATGCACTACTCTTATAACATATTGTATTATCCAGCATGAACAGCTGTAAATAAGGTGTATTAGTCCATTATCTTCCAGGACCTTTCCGTTTGGATGTAGTTCAGCTTGTCAATCAAGAGAATGGAACGGTTTTATTCACCTACTGCCGAGACAGCCAAGTGGCTGAACCAATAATTAATTGAGCCATTGCTTTTAGATTCTAAGAAGGAATGTAAGCAAACAATTGAATAAATTTCCGGAAAGCGGTTTGATTATTATTATTATTATTATTATAGTGATGATAAGGCTACAGGCTGTGAAAATCGACAAATAAGTGAAATGATTAGCATGATAGTAGTGCGTTTCGAAAGGAAATAAAGTTTTCAGCGTTTACAATATGTAAACTACTGTTGCTGCAGTGTACTGTAAAATAGTTAGGAAAGATTTCGACAGTAAGAATTAAAAGACATCATTTGTTTCCACTAAATGTCTATAGTAAGTTAAATGCTTTGTGTTAATGCACACAAGTTGCGACGACCAGCAGTGAATTGTCTAATATATGTGTTAAAATTGGACGCTGTGGTAGTAGGAGATTCCATATTGATTTGTTTATTAAATGTATCACACAGTGAAACAGTATTGTTTAATGGATGACAAAGTTTCGAACACAACTTATTGTTCATAATCATAACAGTTATAACCACACAACTTTGAAACTTTCGTTTCTTAGTTTTCTTTATTCTTTCCTAATCGTCGTAGGGGTAGTAGAATCTTCCAGATGTCCATCTGGACAGGTGTTGAATCATTCGCATTACACGTGTTTGAAGTTGATTCGATAAACAAAGCTTCTGTTACCAACCTCTCCCTCCACCCTGTTACATTGGATTTTAAAACTGTCATCCTATCCCTTCCTATTGTATGGTTGTGCGTAGATGCATGTAGTGCTATAGCTGAACTATTCTCCAGATTTCTTATCTTATTCAGGTCAACTGATCTAGATTTTGCAAGGTTTTTATACTGCGCTAGTCTGGTTGACCCCGTTCTACTACTTTAACCTGAAAATCATTCCAGAAGGGTATTAGATGAACTAAACTGTTTCGTTTAATTGGCTCTACGTGATCCTTTAACCGACAAAGCTCGTTTGTAATTGAATTTCTGGGTTTGAATGCCACTTTTATTACTGCCTTGTTAAGAATTCTCCATACGGTTTCCGAGGTTCCTTCTTTGTATGGAAGTACTGCTGATGATTTATATTCCCTATTGTTGGTGTAGTCATTATTCTGTGCATGTTTGACACGCATGTCGTCATTAACATTATTGTTATCACTACCATTATAATTAATAATAATGGTAGTGATAGTGATAATCTAGATTAGTTGACCCGAATAAGATAAGAAATCTGGAGAATAGTTCATCTATAGCACTACATGCAATTACACACAACTATACAATAGGATGGGATAAGATGACAGTTTTAAAATCCAATGTAACAGAGTGGAGGGAGAGATTGATAAGAGAAGCTTTGTTTATCGAATCAACTTCAAACACGTGTAATGCGAATGATTCAACACCAGTCCACCAGGACATCTGGAAGATTCTACTACTCCTACGACGATTAGGAAAGAATAAAGGAAACTATCGAAGTTGTGTGGTTATAACTGTTATGATTATGAACAATAAGTTGTGTTCGAAGCGTCATCCATTAAATGATACTGTTTCACTGTGCGATATTTCTAATAAACAAATCAATATCGAAGTGAACTGACTAACTTCAGTGGCACTATCCTAAAATAAAAGTTTATTATGTTTCTCATAGCTTCTAGATGTCCATTTTGTAATTCTAAACTTCATTTAATTGAATAAAGTGTCATTGTATCCGTTAGTTAAGGATAGATAACACAAACCAGTTACTAAATCGTAATTAGTATTATGCTATTCAGTTCTATGCATTGGCTGGATTCATAATGAAACCAAGTAGAAAACTTACTAGGTAACTAGATACGCTGTGTTTGCTGTTAAGCCTGACCTATTTCAAACAAACAAGTTAAGAGAATTATACGTAGATTATTCACAAGGTATTTATTTCGGATTTGCGAGTTGCTTTTTAACTTGATGCCTGCAAGTAGGATACTTTGCTAACATTGTTATATATCAGCAGCATAATGAAATTGAATTAAAACCCTGAGGTAGAGTAAAACCTGAGAAATAACGACAATGACAGAAATGAAACATTTAAACTAAATATGAATAACAACTGTTTTCATTCAGTACTCTGTACTTCAATAAGGGATGCAAATACCACAGGGTTCGCTTGTGGTAATGGCTAGCACAGCTGGTTGTCGGAGGTTCAATGATACACTGATTACCAATTACACCAGAGGTCTAAGTTCGATTCCCGACCGGCGGACTCCTAAATCTCACTTAGCCGATAGTAAGCCTTGAAAATAGAAAAGCTTGTGCGTTGGGTTTAGCAACTCTACCCCGTGAAAACAACACCACTGCTAATGAGAATTCAAAGACTAAAGCTTCCATCTCTATGTCCCACTTAGAATGCAAGGGATGAAAAAATGTCTTAACTGATAGACTTATGGTATAAGTAACGAGCACGGGGCGCTGGTTAGAACCCTGTATCAATCAACATTTTCATTTTTCCTTTCAAGTGTCATCCGAAATGTCGGGTCTAGTCTGCTAATTCAGGGCTACTTCAAATAGTAGAGATTACCTCAATCTTAAGGACAATTATGTCAAGCTGACATAAGCCATGGGATGAGTGCAACCAAGAGGCACTGGACGATATTTTCATTCTGTTTTGGAAATTTCATTGCCACATGAATCTGCCGTTCATATTTCATTAAGATTTTCTGTTTGTACCTGTTAGCCTGTATTAGATAATAGAAACAATTCAGTTTTTACTGTTGTTCATAGTCCGTTGTAAACTCATTAAGATGAACTGATCCTTATCTCTTAGAATACAAATATCGATTGCCTTAAAAGTATTTTGACTACTAATAGTGCGTCGGTGGCTTAGCGGTTAGGACGCTCGCCGACCATGCACATGGTCCGGGGTTCGATCCCCGGCCGACGCACCTCTTTACCTCGCTAAGCCAGATATGATGCTGGTGAAGAGGGAAGGTTGCGCATGAGGCTAGCAACCCCATCCTGCTACAGAAACTTCAAGCCACAAGCTTGAAGCCTTATGTTCTACTGGGGAACGTGAAGGAAAAAAAAGTAAGCAAAATAAATCAGTATCCTAACGGAATTACCAGTCATATAACAGTAACAACAACCATAAAAGATTCTCCGAGATTTAAATACATTCAGCTAACAAATTCGGGGGAGAGGTGAGGAGGGGGGGTGAGAAGTTAAAAAACTGAAATTTGAGACTTTATTGTTATTAGCCAAGCTGGAGACTGCAACATTTAGTGAATACTTCGTTTAAAGACTTATAAAAAAAGAAAAAGTAATTTAGACCATTCAACGTAATATACAATAAAAGAGAAGACTTGAGTAGATAACAATACTGAAAAATCTCTTATATATATAGCTATATGGCACTTGTGTATGAAGATGTACAATCTGCATCTTGAAATAAAAATAATTTTTAAATCAAAAACATAATGATAGAAGCAGACGAATTAAATGCAGTTATATAAACAATATTAATGTTAATATGAATAACAACAGCAGAAGGCAGATAATCCAATCTTGCATTTTATTATAAGGCATCAGCAGTTAACTGTGAAACTTTGAAAGGATAACTTGATTGACGAAAGCTTTTCACAAAAGATGATAATTGATTTACATGAAGTGAACAATGTTTAGGCACAGGACGACATTCATTCAATAATGGATTGGTAAAATTATACAAATTGGATGAATTATAATTGTACACAGGAGAAGTGCTCAATATTGACTGGCCACCAGATGTTTGTACAATAAGCCAATACAAGAAAGCATCTTCACATGTCTCCAACTTATCGACAAATGATTTCACATGGACAGCCAGCAGATCGGTATACAGATGTAAGTAGTGCTAATTGTGGTAAAAAAGAGATGAGAGAATAGCGTACAAAAGGGAAACAAAATTATTCATTATAATATAACCAGTGTGTACTTGTGACTATACATTTTAATATTTAAAAATGAATTGTGTTTACAAAACACATCACTCACCGTACGTCAATAGTCAGATTGTATAGTCTCTATATACAAATAGATGATTTTATGGAGAAATCAACAGAAAATTCCCCTGAGACTACAAATATGTCGTAACAATGAGTGTCGACGAGCGTCAGATCTATGCCTGTTAGGATTGACTACTAACATTTAGTGAGATCTAATTGGAAAATAGACAGAAGGATGTGGGCAACAGTAAAGAATAGACACCAAGGTCAAATGGCCTTGAATCAACCAATAGGATGGCTCGGTATTACACATGGATGGTGTTCGTTATCTTCGTTGCAGGTTTCACCCAGATGTTTTAATACCAATAATACTAACGACTAGTTCTTCTAGGCACTACCATTCATAAACTCGAGTAGAAAGGTAATTTGCAATTATCATCATCAGACAATATTCATCATAAAGTAAATCATACTTCTGAATTAGTATATCCTATAAGCGGAACACATACAAATTCTGTTGAAGGATTCTGGGTCTATCTAAAAAAACGTATTATAATATCCAATGATTCTCGATGTGAAATGATATACAGCCACTTAGATGAATTTTTGTATCGAAATTGGTTTGATATGTCTACAGACACTCCTATGAGAAGCCGGGACCAGTTTTTACGGAATGTTAGAGATATGTACCCTATATAATTCAGGTTTATTACATACATGTCTCATAAACACACCTTTTTTAAAAATAAACGCCATTTTTCACCTAGAAGAATATAATTGGTAGATTCAAAGTCATTTGACTTTGGTGGTGGTAAAATTCATAGCGCTCACTCGATTTCATTTATCCATTCATCAAAAGAATAGTGAATAATTAGATACAAATAGACCAGAATAAAGGATATTTAGTTAAGGGTACGTATATGCAGGCACTGTTAGAAGTCCTCACTGAATAGATGTACTCGAGACTTGTGTTAAGTTGAAAGACTATCCTATTTTAGCATAACACTAATCGGTGGTTCTATCTTTCACAAAAAACAGTGTAAATGTGAACGCTTACACTTGAAATAATACAAAAGTAAAAAGCGCATAGGTTACAGTCAACAAACTCCATATGAATTTATTCATTGGACATATCACACAGTGAAACAGTATTGTTTACTGGATGAGATTTCGAACATAGTCAGAGAACCATTGAAAGCCAGGAATTACTCAGCAGCTGTTTCGTCCTCATTCAGGTCTCTTCATCACTACGTACCGATGACCTCCAGACTAGGACAAATAGCTATCCAGTACTCCCTCGCTTGTAATTATTCTCTAACTGATATCAATTAATCCGTGACCGAACTTGAAACTAATCAAAACCCTATAAACTAACACTTGAACATTTAGAACATAATTTACTATTCGAAGCGTTGAATGCGTTTATTTTTGAATCAAAACTAGGTGCCTAAATTTATAGATCGAAAACTCCACTTTAAACGAAACTGCAATGCACATTACACTAAATATACATTTTATAGGACTCCAAAGTAAACAAAATGCACTCAGGAGACAAACATGCATCAAGAATTATGCAGTTAAACCGTACAAGTTTTTATCAGGCTCTCAGTAAATTATCGTAACTCATACTTAAGGTTTTGAATTCAATTTCATTGGTTGCTTATCTCATATGTTGATATGGTGTATAGGCTTTAAACAACAGAAATTTCACTTATGTGAATTAAAATAACCCCAGATTATAACAACACAGTTATCACTGGTGTGATGAGTAAATTAAGAGAATAACAGTTATGCATACCTTATGGAAAAAGACTGCAGGGAAAGTGGCAGAAAACGACTGATTATTATTACCATTATTGTAAAACAGATGCCAAGAAAGCTGTTCAGATTGTCTTCCAGATAAACTGACTAATCGTTCAGGATTTTGGCACCATAGCTATTTAAAGCAAAGCAAAGCAAAATAATAAGATTCAAAATAATAAACAAATTTCCAATTAAATTATACGATCTGGTGGATGATGGTGACTAGCAGTGGAAACCAGTATACGCAATTCGTCCCATTTAGGACTCGTCATCTGAGTAGAACTGCATCTTTAGTGGGTTGTAGTGGTCCCCTGGCAGAAACATTTAATAAATAATGAACTTGTCTTTTACTGAAAAAGACATTCTAATTGCATTATTCAAATTTATCAAGGGGGATAACTATACGACGTTTTTAACTCAATAGACAGGCAGACAGCTAGGTAAAAGCAGTTCGTAAATCACTTTGATTTGGCTACACAAAGCGCGCTATTGGTTGATATGAGTGGCATACAACTATTCATCTCAACCAATCAGTGGTGTATAGTTTTATGCAAAAAGCGATTCAAACTTAAATAGCATAATGAGCGATTTGTGCACTGATTGACAGCCCGTGTAAAACTGACAATATCTAGTATTATTATTACTGTTCCCTTGGGTTCCTAGTGGAACATAGGGCTTCAACTACACGTCTCCACTTGCTTCTGTCTTCTGCATCCATGTTATTCCATACTGTTTCAACTCCTCTTCACACGATCTCCTCCATGTCACCCTTGCACTGACGTCCCACTCGCCGCTTCCCTTCCGGATCCCACTCGAGCGATGGCCTGACTCGCGATGTCACCCAGTGGCCTCCTCAGCGAGTGTCCTATCCATCTCCACTTTCTCCTGCATATTTGTTGAGCGATTGGTTCTTGTTTTGTTTGTTCCCATAGTTTCTTCATGGGGATTCTTTCCGGGGATCTGATCTTCAGTACAGAGCGAAGACAGTTGTCGATAAAGGTCTGCAACCTGTTGGAAATATTCTTTGTGACACACTGGCCAAGTTTCTGATCCGTATAGAAGAACTGACTTGACGTTTGTATTGAAAATCCGTATTTTGTTGTTGATGCTGAGTTGAGTGACGAAGATTTGCAGATTGGTTTCAGGTTGATGAATGTGTTTCTCGCCTTCCCGATTCTCGATTTGACATCCTCGTTCGTTCCTCTTGTAGTTGAGACAATGCTCCCTAGATAAGTGAAAGAAGTAACCTCTTTCAAATCCCTCCCGTTGATGGTGATTGGCGTTGGATGTTGCTGTTGTTGTTGGTTGGTTACTTTCATATCGTCGTACCATTACAACCAATTTCCAACAGTACCGCCTTTCAGACCTCAGTCACTAATTTCACGTAACTTCACGATTCTACCCTGACTAGCTTGAGTTGAAGCCCATAAACTCTATGGTTTAGAATTATATTCTGGGGCTAATCATTTCGAGGCTATTCTCAAAACACGTCTGTCTCCTTAGGACAAATAATGCATAAGAGTAAATTATGGCTGAGCATACTCAATTTTCCAAACATTTCAATTAAGAGAAGTCTCCACCTCATCAGAAATACCTACTTCAAATGCACGTTCAACTGATTCAGCAGATGGTAGACATGTATCTTCTTCAATAGAAAAAACTGCTTCTGTTCTTATTTGTCGATAAGGAAAAAATCGACCATTTACTGAACCATAAGCTGGACGCACTACACTCAACGGTACCTTTAGTGATGGCCATAGTATGGCTGAAATAGAAGAAAAACAGTTTGAATAAAATTAGTCTCTAAACTAGTACATTTATTATTGATTGTTTATTTTATCAAATACTTCCACTATTAACAATAAGCTAACAAAACGAATTAAACGACTACAAATGAATATTTTTATAACAAGTTGCAAAAAGTAGTGGTTAACACATCGATTACTTACTGACTTATATTCATAGGTGTTTCTAAATTGTAACGTCAACTAAAAGATATATTGTTCTAGTAATGGCAATTATTAGTTTAGTTTCAAACAGCAACAAAAACATGATGTCATTTAATTGATATTGGCTAACAGTATACTTCTGGACACGTGTTTCATCCTATTTGGGAATCATCAGGTGAGTGATAGTGCTCCCCCGAGACTCAAATCCATAACCCATAGTTTTAAACACCAGATCGTCATGTACTGAGCCACCTTTTGTTCAATGAGTGTCAGTTTTCGTTGGTCGAAACCAGTTTTGCATTTCCTATCAAATGATTTTATTGAATTGAAATGCTCGGTGGTTCTCATGGCTCAATATCTCAGTGGGAAACGCCTCAACTACGTGTAAAAGACGAGTTCAAATCCCAATTAAAACAGCCAATGGAATACAAAAAGTAACTTTAAAAAGCGTTTTCTGTTTCACTGGGTTCCACTATCAATCAAGTGTGACAAAATTGTTGCACGTTTCTCAACAACGAAGGGAGGTGTTCAACGATGTGTCTCTTAAGTTACCTACTTATTCACTCTATATAGTTATCTTCACAGGAACAAAAACTTATAAATGAACGTAGAAATAGCATAACTGGGTAATTTTTCTTTTTCTTATGACCGGTTGGTTGGGAAATGGTAAACAAAGAGAGAGGCAGAGAGAAAAGGCATCATTATAAGCGCTTTTTATCATTCTGGACAGTCTTTGATATAGAACATCGCTATCCATTGTCCCCAATGAATTGGAGCTTCAGGAAACCCTTTTCAAGGTGACTTGTTTCAAGTTCCTGTCTACTTTGTTCATATGTCCCATTATAAAACTATTTGGGTAACTCATTTCAATTAGTACGCTATCCGTATTAATATGTAATTCCATTTCTATGGCTTAAATGGATATAGATATCGTAGATGCTATCATTAGAATGCATTGAAATAAAAGGTAACGTTGCTAGATATTATCATGAATAAAGTTGAAAGTGGCTCAACAGAAAATCAACAGTTTGTTTTCAGCATCCTTCTTTACATTCACACATAGTTTTTCCCTCAGAGAAATAGTTATCATCTCATTATATACAAAGTGAAGAGTTGGAAACCTATGCTTTATTAATGTTGAAGTGTGATGGGTTGGCAAGAAAAATGATTTTTTTTTCACCATTTTAACTTGTTCACATAGATTGAGATGTGAATTGCGCGATAAAATTGAGACTGAAATACGACAGGGACGCTGATGCTGGACTCAAAAGCGCTGACCACGGACACTGATCGACTACACCAACAACATTATACGACAGCTACCTGTCTCCCTCAGCCCGCTTTACTTAAGCCAGAACACAACGACGTGAGATGAAAAGTATATTTATCCGTACAAGAAAGTAAAAAGTGAGTGTACCAAAGAGAATGGCGCCGCTTGAGTGAAGACAAACAATAAGGACAATTCGTGGAGTGAGAAGATATATCCGAACAACCTTGATCTACTCTCACCATAAAAATATGATGTATCTGAGTAGACATCAGGCGATTAAACCAAAAACCTGACATTAGTCTATGACGTCATTGATAGTTGGTATGAGTCATGTAGGGAAGTGTAGGCTTGCTGGTTTGGGTCCTCGGGAAGCTTAGAACCAATGGTTAGAGGACTACTGGAGATATGGTTCAAAATCGTCCTCAATGGCAGAGATGTATTCACTCTTTGTGATCTCCCACACCCATTAAACCATTTTGTTTTCTCATTTTATTATTCTTTCTCCCTCATATTTCTCCTTATTATTGTTCTTTTGAATCTCTTTTCCTCGCTTCTGTCTTCCTCTGTATACTGCATGGAGTGTGGCAACTTGAACTGCTATACTTCTATCCAAAGTTCTGTGTTGAAACTCAATTAGTAAGTCAGTCAGTCAACTTGTTCATATTCAATAACGAATATTCAAAGGAATAATCATGTATCGATCCACCTCACAGTTATAATAAGGCATCAACTTAACAAATTGTCAATCACACAGAAGTCCGATAATTGAAATAAGTTAAAGTGTAAACTTGTCATCAAACAAATAAGATAGTGGAAAAGCTAGATCAGTCAACACTTAATCTTTAAATTAAACAGAGCATATTTAAGGTATCAATCAGAAGTCACACGCTTCTATTCATTTTAGCATATATATATATATATATATATATATATATATATATATATATATAATATGCAGCTAATTTGACTTCTGACTATGTAATTATGGACACATTGTCCAGCCTTTTGTCAACTGATAAACGCATTCATTTAACAGAAGGTGTGTTTAAAAAAAAAGTAAAATCAACAAAAAAGACTAGCAACTTAGGAACACTTACTATCAGGAACAGGATACGCTTTACTTGTCCATACAACTACAATTTGTTGTAAATATTTTACATACTGTATTGATTTTAACAAAACACTAAGTAGTGCGAAGTGACTATGAGCTCGAATAAGAGCAGTGAATCCTGCCTGTGGGAAAGCTTTAGCTGGATAAAATAGAACCGGAGATATCGGAAATGCATTCTAAAAAGCAGAGCATTTAATGAAAGTAAAGAGACTAAAATAAGTAGAAGTGAATTAAATAAATGTAGTACATAAATATGACAAATATTGTGAATTACTATCACTGATGCTCACTAGCGAATGGCCCTAGTGAGGTAGGTAGTTACTTGGGGTTCGAGTGGAAAGCCGTGACCAGTAAGTTACAGCAGGTCGGGTGTAAGGACAAATACTCGCCGAAGACATTGGCTAGTGGTTGCGTAGAAGTTAGAATTCATAGGATATTGCATCGAGTCCCAGTGGCTTATTGGTCTACCAGCTCGCTAGCCTTGTAACCAGAAGGTATTGGGTTCGAACCCCGGTGGATGCGTACTGCTAACGAGTCCCAAACTAGGACGAAACAGCTATCCACTACTCCCAGTTTTTCCAATAGTTCTCTAATCGATGTCAGCTAATGATGAAATCCTGCAACCAGTCAATCAAATCCCTACAAACCAATACTTGACTATATAAACTTGAAGTTGGATAAAAGTAAAGTGACAAGAATTACACACAAACTAGATTTTAATACAGGAAGCAGCACGTAAGATGCCTATCGTCAATGATCAAAGCACCATGATAAAACAATGAATTATCTACCAAAATTGACTTAATTAAAATCCTAAATAGGAGCACAGCACCAATGAAATATTCATATAGCTATAAAAATGTATTTACTAAGAAGTGATCCATTCTGCACTACCCTACACAATTACGATATGTAATCATCAAAAAGTACTTCAGAGAATTTTAATCATTGCGAAAATTATCTTGATACACCGAAACATGTGAAGAAAACAGAGTGCATGTCGGAAAAATAACATACGATCCCGTTATTCCTACAGGTTTTAAAATACTAACCTATGAGCAGCCGCAGCCTACGAACTGAAGTAAGTTCATTTGGGTTTGCTATACAGTGGTTGTTGCTGAACTTACTGTTCCACATCTTTACTCAAAAGTAGAATTCATGTACTAGTATAGGTGCTTCTAGTTCTACTCATCAGTTTCGTATCTACACAACAAATTTCACTGATTGACGTATCACAACTGTAAACTAAATAGTTCTTAAGATAAAAATAACATTGCATAAAATTCTGCTTATCGATGTCCTGTTTTGATTTATTCTCTCTTAGAGCTCACACTAAGCAATAACTAACATAAACGATGGCATAATTGGTGGCATAAGACCATACACTTTGACGTGAGCTGACAACAAATCTACCCCACACTATCTATCGCCCAGAACATTTTTGCTCTACCTCGGTATTGGTACTATTGAATAGCTTACTCAGCACCTGGTGTTCTATACAGATACAATGGCAACCATTCCTGCAAAATCAAATGCAATATATGCTGTCAAATTTGTAAAAAAAAAATAAGCACGTAGGTAGTCCACGTATCAATATTCACAATACAAGGCAGTAGCTTAATTCAACGCCTAGCATAAGTGACAAATTATTTACAGAATACACTACACAAGAACCGTTATTTTATCAGTGTTTAAAACAAAATTCACTACGAAAGTTTGAATAAAATATACTCACTGCAGAATAATCAGGATAATTCCATTCAGCATAAGATCGTGAATATTGAGGAAAGACGCGATCATTTAGTATATCTAGTGTAGTGATCATGATTTTCTCTATTGATGAAAAATAACGTTCATAGGCAAACATTATTTGTTTCCGAAGAAGAAGTATCTCTCTTGATGAATATGTCGAGAGTATAGATGGTACCTTTTGAAATTTAATTCTAGGAATTCGTATAGCCATTCTAAATAATTTACAAATGAGAAATGGAAAGATCAACATACTATCATACCGAATTCAAAATCTACCTCATAAAAAGTTACAATATGACACGGCAACCAGATAATAAACTAGTGGAATAATAATATAATTAACGTCAAAGTTAGCCAAAAACACTAATAAGGTTTGAACCAAGGTTTATTGACAACTCTCATAGCCAATAACGTTTTCTTTCCTAGCTGAATCTGTGTTTTGCAATTGTGTAGCTGGACAGGCAAGTGGCAAACCATTTCTGCTTTTCAAGTATTGGTTTTGTAGGGATTCTTCTTGATTCGATGGAAGATTCCATCATGGGCTGACATCAGTTAGAGAACCACTGAAAAACTTGGGGGTACTGGACAGCTGTCTCGTCAGCCTAGTTTGGGACTCTTCATCAGTACTCCCAGGTTTTCCAGTTGTTCTCTAACTGATGTCAACTCATGATGAAATCTCCTATCCACTTCTGCTTTATTTTGTGTTCAACAGAGCAAAGACATCACTTTGCTCAATACTAGATATGATAAATTCTCCATTTCACGTATTAGCGAGGTGGCTGGTAGAAATTTCTGATCCGGTGAAACAAAAGCAGTCGAGATAGAATCTCTGGGACACATTTGATTTTGTCGATTCTATTAAGAATGTCAATCTTGTAGATAAAACAATGGTCTCCTTAGATATCGTCACTCTCTCCCTCTCTCTTTCCCACTGTCCCTCTGACAGAAATCGTGTTATTTATGTGTTCAGGAAGTTAGAACAAACATAGTATTTAACCAAACACAGAGGCTACGGCGAATTTACTTAAAATACTGGTATTCAGGTGTGCATAATTTACTCAGATGTGAAACACGATGTTTATATAACACTATTCCACAGAAAGTCATGAGTCAGTTACAATACCGATACATCAGATTGGCTTATAGGAAGCTCATCAGTAAGTTATATGGTATAAATAGCTTCTGAAAAACTGAAGCAGATTTAACTCATCCATATAGTTATTCAAAAGGTGAGTGTGATACACGAATAATGTTAGTGGACATGTCACACTAAAAACTTCGAAACAGTAGTGATAGACCGAAAGATAGAGGTAACTGAATAGAGTAAGCTATCATTATCTTTCTGATATCCATCCTGAATAGAGGAGTAAATTAGATTGGGAAAAGAAATGGTTCAAATTCTGCATTATTCCAAATAATATTTCAAACCTCAAGGGTATAGTATTAATCATACTTTTTCATGTTAAGTATTAGGTACTATAAAGCATAAGCCTAAGACAGATTTGTTTCATTCTATTGTCAAGTTTTATTACTGTACGTTTGGAAACAAACTACCACAAGATTCTCCTATTATAAAAATACTGTTTTCCCTTCATATATATATACATATATATCACAACCGACAGTCTCTACGTTGAGCAGCTTGCATGGCCAAATGAGCTACACTGACTAGAACTAATGTTTCTGCGGGTCGTACCATGCCGTAAGGATAATTTAGATTTCATTGATATAAGAATAAAACTTGGGCACTGTGGTAGAGTGTAATTCCATTATGGGTAAATTTTATTTTGATAGAGTCTCACAGTGTTATACAGTAATATTTACTGATGACGTTTCGAGCACAATTTATTGCTCATAATCATATCAAGGTGATTATACTAGAAGGAGTTGTCGTCACAGAGTAAATTGTTTACACGATGTTGGTGGTCGTCTGGGAGCGAGGTCATACTGCTGAGAAATAGGGATGTAACAGCAGTGAGGTGTTTCCCTCAGATGGCCAGTATGCAAGCTATGCGACTTCTCCGCTCCGGAGAGATGTCAGAAAACGCCAACCCTGAAAATTGTACATCCTGACTTATCTTGTAGCGGTATGTAACCGGCAGTAAGATGTGAATACGGACGCAACTTCAAAAGTCAATTCAAGCAAGTCCTGTCTAACTGGCTTCAAGCAGTTTTCTTTTGGCCACTGGGGTCACGCAACACTAACACTTTCTCTTTCAGGTCCTCCAGGAAATTTTCAAGTCATATATATGTATATAACACAATCAGTAACAGTAGTAAGAGTAACCAAAAATGTAGCAGAAATACCTTATAAAATTGTTAATCAAGCAGAAACGATTGTATTCAACCACTTTCTACCTATACAGTAGTAGTGGCGTAATAAAATGAACTCGAAACCATGATCATAACTTAGACACCTGAAAACTGGAGTCACTAGTCATTAAAATTCAAAAACACAAAACTGCACCTGAAAAATATGTGAAAAACTTACTTATTCCAGTCAAGAACTTCAGAGAATGGTAAAACAATATCGTCATTTACAATCACTGGAATACAACCACATGCTATACTGTCGAATAAATTAAAACGATTTGCATTGTCTGCATCAATTACCAGGCAAAATTCACTGGAACACAAAGATTCTGAATAGTTGATCCACTTTTTCACACCATGTCGATATTGAGATTCAGATACTAATACAAAACGTCTGTCATATGTTTGGCTGATTGACTGATCAGAATATTCTAAGGTGATTATAGTCTGGGGAGAAAGGGAATCTGAATTTCGAGAATCTAATAAAAGGTATTTCAATTGGTCAATTGAATCTTGATCAGTTGATGGAAAGACTATCAAGAATAGAGT